TTACTCTAGTTATTTAATTTTTTGACAGAGAAAAATTATTTCTTTAAATTCATGATCATTTCATTTTCAAAATGTTGGTGCTGAGCCAGGCCTGGCTTCATGTGCCTTTAATTTCATCATTTGAGAGGCCGAGGCCAGAAGATCCTGAACTGAAAACCAGCCTGGCTACATAGTATGTGTAAGGCAGGCCTGAACTATGTGGTGAGACCTTGTCTCCAAAGAAAGAAAAATATCGATTCTATAATGGCAAATGAATACATGTCACATGTACTGTGCCATAAATAGGTTGTGATAAATACATAATCACATCAGTATCAGAAGAATTCCCTCTGGACAGAAAATGTAGAGAGTACTCAAGTGATCTGACTTCTATAGAATACCTCTTGATTGTCTGTTATGTTTGTTTATTTTTTAAAATTTATTTTAAAAATAAAAGAAGGAAAACATATTAACAAACACACATCCATTTACAAAATAGCATAAGAACAATACAAACAATACAGAGTTACAGACAAAGTTGTAGGAAATTAAAAATGGTTGTTGTATTATTGTATTACATATTGATATCTTCAAAGTGGTTTCTCAGAAAAACAAATAGAGACAGGTAATATTGATCAAAGAAGTAATCATTAACTGTTACTTTCAGTAAAGCAATAGAAGACAGTAGTACAACTATGTTTTGATTGTCTTTTTTCTTTTTTTGGTTTTTCTCCCGTACCGGGAACCGAACTCATGACTTTGCACTTGCCAGGCAGGAGCTTTGCCACTGAGCTAAATCCCCAGCCCCTTGATTGTTTTTTAAAAGGACATTTTAAGCTAAGTAGAACTGGCAATAAAAATAATTTATTTTTGGCAAATGCACAAAGTCCTGACCTTAGGTTAGTATTTCATTATTTGCTAATACTAAGTACCTGTACATCAACCTGTATGTTTTCTTCAGCTAAAAAAATTCTGAAGATATGGCTTTTTAAAAAAGCTCTATTATAAGACTACAAGCCACCCACTTTGAAAGAGAAAGTCAATTAAATGTGTGTGGTCAAATAAACTATATTTAAAGATTAGCCTGATTTTTTAAACCGTAACCTAAATTAAGTTGGATGTCAGAGAGAATGTGTTAGTATTTAGAATACCACACTGTAAGACTGAGGGCGTTTCTACATGTGGATAACTTAATGTCAGCTTTAAGAAAAATGGTGTTTCTTTCTACTTATTAGAACTTCTAGCAGACTGGGGATGAGTGGAGCCACAGGTGTGAGGAGCACGGATTTGCACGTCCTGTTCTGAAGTGACACTGGGGTACACGTGGAGCACTGAACAGCAGACTCCTACAGGTAGAGGCCAGGGTCGGGGCTTCCTACCTGGACTGACTTTTACAGTGTCCATTACTGGGGCCTAAGGCATCATGGTTGAGGAGGAAGTTTCACTGCCTCTGAAGGGAACGCCTCAGAAGCCTCCCTGACTGACTGGCTGAAGGAAAATTTGTACTTTTGAGGTAATGTTTCTTAACCCTGGCTGTGGAGAGGTTTACTTGAAAAGCCAGCTTTGTCTCAAAACAATATCAAGGGCCTTGGTAAGAGTGGTTATTTATTAACCAATTTTTCAATGTCCACTCTTAGATATCCCCTGGTTCTTTAACTTAGAAAGTCTTTATCTGTCTTCTCTCTGTTGCACCTCTGGCGACCTCTCTCATTTATCTTTACGAGTTAGGTGTTTGGGGAGCTTTGCCTACTCCCGCCGTACCACCTTACACACGGCTACTCTGTGTGCTGAGTTCACACGGTGTGTGGAGGGAATATGAATATTCCCTTCCATACAATTTCAGGTCAGGAATCTGAAATGATTTATTAGCTAAAACTTTTACTAATGTCATCCCATATGTATAGGTAGGTATGAAATCTATGTAATTACAAAACATAAAAATGCATAGTTCATATTTAAGTGAAGCAATATAAGTAGGGGAATTCATTTTATATTCTTTTATTCCAGAAGGAATCCAGTATTTGATCAAATATTGGATGTGCACTTATTCCTCTGACTTGTATGAGTTGCTTCAGACTTCAGCTCAGTTCTCTCTGTACAACAACAACAACAATAATAGTAACAATGTCCATCAAAGAGTTTTCTGTGAGGATTGAGCGAATAAATAAAGTACATTCCAGAGTGTCTGGTACTTTTATATAAATTGTAAATCATGGCTTAAAAAACAGAAATAAATCCCAAAACTTTCTGTAACATGCATATACAAATATTCTGTGTGTGTGTGTGTGTGTGTGTGTGTGTGTATGTGTGTGTGTTCTTAAAATGACGGAAGGTGCCGTGTGTGGTGGCGCACGCCTGCAATCCCAGCTCTCAGGAGGCTGAGGCGGAAGGATCACTGCGAGTTTGAGGCCAGCCTAGGCTGCAAGATAAGTTCAAAGCCAGCCAGAACTGCACAGTGAAACCCTGCCTCAAAAAAAGACGAAAAAAGAAAAAGACTGAAGCTTATAATGCCTCATCGAATATATCTCTCTTATCTACCAAGGTTTTTATATATCTTTTATAAGTATCTGTCACTCATTTATAGATTTGTTAACTATATTGAAAAATCAAACACATAAAAAGATTAAGTTAATTTGTAATGTTCAAAAATTAGTTTTAAGAATATTTCCTGCATAAGAGATACGAAATTATGTGCAATATATGTGAGTGAATATAACATGAATATCTCCATCCTATGACTTTGAGAAGTGATGCAGAAATTCTACAGACAATAAAACACAGCAACACTTTTATATACACTTAGAAAATGAAACCTTATTTCAAATAATTATACCTAACTTGTACAGTATAATGGTTATTTTATGTTATTTCTTAACATATTTCACATAATTTGAAAGAAAATAATACTACAGAATTTCCTACATAATATTTATTTTAATTCATATTTTATTTAGGCTCAGCATTTTAAAAATTTCCTTAAATATACTCAACTGCTTTACCTAACACTTTCAAAACAATAGGAATACTTGCCCTATTGTGAAAAAGATTCATCTAAATAATTCAGTTTAAAGGATGAATTATATCATTTACAGAAATGAAAAAGAAAATTCACTGGTTTCCCTTTTCTAGCCAGTTGTATAATGGCAACTATATATAGTTTAAATTATCTTTAAGGACACACAGGCAAAGTAATGAAAAACAGTCAGTTTTACAGATAAAATGAAATAGATATTAAGGAGAAAAATTGGTTACAGAGAAGTTTAAATGCAAGGAGAATATAGCTATAAAACGGCTTTCTCTTATCTCTATCAGGTAAGCACTGGATCTGAGGATTCTCTTACTTATCAATAACTAAACAGTACAACTATTACTCTGATGACTGATAAAATAGTCTATCCTGGCCCTGGAATTATGACCTTGGTATCAGTTTGATTTAGGTAGCACAGGAAAAATACAAGAGACTTTAGTAATCTGATGTTGCTCATACATTGCTGCCAAATTGCATCCTAAGAAGACCAACAAGGATAAAAGCAACATTTCTCATTGTAAAGCTATCACCCAAACAGGTAGCACTATTACCAAGACATGAAAGAACAGAATTTAAAAATTTGGGACCATGTAAAATTACGTTATTCAGTCAATCTAACTGAGACTCTTGAGATATGATATCAGTGAGAAAATTGAGTTTGAGGCAGGGTTAAGTCAAGAACAGGTCACAAAGCCAGCAATTGGCTGGACTATGGTTTCTATATAGGACTGGATCAGTGCAGAGAAATTACAAGGTACAGCAAATCCTACCGATATGCACATTTTAGCTCAAAACATAAGTAAAATCCAATTTCCCATGTGACTAATAGTTTTTATTGGAATTTCAATAATTATGCAGTTCAGACATATTTCCTAATCAACTTTATCTGAAAACTACAAAAATTTAAATAATCTCTGATAAAATATGGTATGTTCTGAATGGAAACATGATGGAAATAATTTTAGAAAAACAAGTGCTTTGAGTTTTCCTGGAATGATTTTTGACCCATCTCTTATTTTCTTGAAATTTCACATTCTGCCAACAAACATCTCTGAGAAGCAGGTAGCACAATGGCTGTGCCTCGTTTTTATCAGCTCTCACCAGCTCTTCAACTGATGCACCCACAGCAGTAGAGTTTAGAATAATCATCCATACAACTGCATTCAAATCTTACTTTTTCCTGTTTGTTTCATCTATTATTTTATAATTTGCCCTGTCTGGCTTCTCTTATGCTAGCTGAGTATACTTAAGATTTCATTTCTTTTTTACTATTGCCTTAATATTTGTACCTCTTTTTTAAAAATATAAATGGTTGTTGTAAAGTTTGCTTAGTCAGAATGTGCGTTCAGATAATATCCTAACACTCTCCCTAGAGTATAAGGCATCTTCGGCACTCCAAGCCCCATTTCTTCTTCTCCCCCTTGGTTGTGGTCGTACATTGATCTCACACTTACACAAGGCTCTGAGAGAATTCTATCTGAATTTAGTTTTGATGATTATTTTATCTCAGAGTTCTTATTCTTCTTCCTTCTCTTTTTGTATCCTTCACACATTTTTCTTAGCAAATTGTCATTCTTTATTAAAACAATGTAGACTGAGGTATTCAATTTTTTTTTTCCTTTTGGTAGGTTTTTAGTGTGGTTTTGAGTTAATCTTGGTATAAATTGGGTTGTTTTTAATATTTCTTGTTGCTATGGTTACCCTCTTTGCACTACAAGTTTTCAATTTTTAAAAACACCCTGTTGTTTAAGATGGGGGCAGTTTGCCAGTGTATTTTTGGGTCATGGTTAGCCCAGCATTGTCCTGTTTTCCCACTGGTTTTACCTGAGTGAGTCTTCTTTCCTGCTTGTTTTTCTACCATCAGTTTTCTGCTGTTAATTATTACCTTTTTGGAAGCCTGTTAGACTGTCAGTGAGTTAAGCTGGCTATGCAGAGGTTAACAGGCGTATGCTTGGGTTGTTCTGGTCACTGCCGTCTTAGAGGAGTCCTGACGCTCGGACAGAGTGTGCTGGCCGTCTCGGAGACCTGCCCCTGCCCTGCCTGCCACTCTGGCTGTGGAAAATTTTGCTTCCCCTTTGGAAGAGTTATGGTCTGTTGGTCTCTTTTGTTTTGTTCTGTTGTATCATTTTTCATGAATTCCTTCATGGCCTTAAGGAAAAGCTGTTTGTTGCTCTTATCCCTGCAATCCAACCTTCTGTTTCTGGATAGGAACTCATTTCTGCTTTAAATGTTGAAGTAAACCTTGTGTTCTATTTCCTGGAAGAATTTATGTAAAATCAGTATTATTTCTTCTTTAGATATTTAGAAGAATGAAACAATTAGCCAGCCCTGCCTGAAGCTGTCTTGGTGAGAAGGATTAAAAGTCACATTGTAGTTTCTTTAACCATCATGTGTACTATTTATATTATCTAGTTGTTTTGACTGATTGTTTTTGTGTCTTTCCAGAAATCTATCCGTTTCATTTAACTTGTCAAAGGTATTGTCATAAAATTTTTATAATCTTTCATTTTTAAACCGCCTGTTGAATCTGTGTTGATATCAGCTTTCACATTCCCTTTGATATGTTTTTGACTTATGAATGACAGAAATATTTTATTTAGTTTCCAGATATTTGGGAATTTTCTAGATATGTCTCCAAAATATCTTTCCTTCTACAACACTATAACAGTTCTCACACACATATATGCACATTTTTTTAATACAAGGTCTTTGTTTATTCAAGAAATGGTGCTAATAAATTTGTAGCATTTCCCACAGCTGATATTTGACTAACTTCTCCTTTTGACATTATTTAATATGATTTTCATTCCTTTATATTTCTTGAAACTAAATCTAGAATCTTCCAGATTCAGGTTTAAATTTTGGCGGGAATGATGAGTATGTGATATGAAATATTTTCAAATATTACAAGAGTGCATAGGGTCTGGTTTTCTTAGTGTATATCTATATTTTCAGCTAATCCATCTAGTATAAGTAGCACTAGCAAAATTTCATATACTTTTTATTGCATCTAATGAGAACTATTATCTAGACTCATTATTTAATTCAAACTTATAAAATGATGATTTTATAAGTTTTATCATCATTTTAGATTTGTTAGTGTGATGTCTTCTACAGTGGAAATTAACCTCTGCAAGTATTTGACGACACTGAAACACTTTATATTATAAAATAGAATTTATTTTCCCCTTTTATTTGCCAACTTGCAGGATGAACATGGCATGACTCCCTAGCAAGGATTATATGTAGGAAAAAAATAATAAATTAAATAATAAATTAAAAATGATCCTACAGTGATAGTCACAAGCCATGAATGTTTCCCACAAGCCAGGTGAATCTATCCAGAGAATTTTATAAACTATCCATTATAAAATTCCATAAGAATTTTATAACTGTATTATGAATGCATGGATTTTAAAAATATATTTCCTTTAACAGTGCAATCATTATCCTTACTGATGCCCCAATTGTCTTAAGTTTGGCTGTTGACAGTTGCTTCAAGTCAACTTCTGTGACCTCTGGATTTGATCTCATGCAGTAGTATTTGATGACATGTTGATTTTCTTGGACAAGATGTTTTATATTCATCTTCTGTATTTCCTTCCCCCCTATGAGCAGAGAACTATTTCTCAAAAGAGCGTGGTTAGTGCTAGTGAGGAATAGTGTGTGCACGTGAAGACACTGGCCCTGGAGCCTAATTGTCCCTGAGTTACCACCGCTTTTGTGTCTTCTCCATGAATAATAGAACTAGGAAAGGTACGCTGTTTTAAAGGAAAGGCTAACAGGAGACTATACTGATGTTTCTAAATCGAAGAAATGTGACTGAGATTTTATACTATTTTTTGATATATTTGTAGATCTCTTTTCTTATTCTTAAAATATTTATTATATCATTTTAATTTTACCTATATTATATATCTTAATATAGTCATTCAATACCAGCATTTTTACTAACAGTAGCATTATGTAATTCTGTTTTAAATGTCCTTGATGTTTCAGGCTTACCCTTTAAGCATACCCCAAGCAAATAATACCAGTTAAAATACTGTTTTAGAATCATGTTAAATACTTTTTGGAGTGCTTATAACACCAAACTAATGTATGACTTGGGATCATTTTTGATTTCCCATTTACTTTTAAAAATTTCTATAAAATGTTTAAAATATATCTAATTAAGACCATAAAATCAAATACTTTAAAGAGTTAATAGCGTCTTCATACCTTGAGTTTTATTTTTGCCACTTTTCCAAAAGATAGCATCAATAAAACCTAATGAATTCTGTTGAATTTAAACTAGTTTGCTACATGAACATATAAGGGTGTGTTTGAATCAAGCTTCTGTTATAGAAGTGGTCTGATTTTAATCTAGTCAAATTTTCCCCACCTCTGGTATACATTTATGTATTTTATGCAGTTCCAACAAACTCCCTACCTCTTCTCTCTGTGTTTCTCCAGGGTATAGCTTGCCTAGTGGTTTAATGCTCACTTTTGTATTATGATTTTTCTGGTTCATTTTAGGAGACAGCAGAGAAAATAAAGTATCTTTCCAGTAGTTCATATAGTGTTCATCCATATACATATCATAATACTTTGGGAAAGATGGTAAATTTTACTCCCAAAGTTTCTGTAGTAAAGAAAACTTTTAAATTGTATTTAATTCATTAATTCTCAGACTTATTTGATCACTTCATTTTTGCTTTTCTGTACTTCTCTAAGTGATTTACGTGAGAGCCACTGTACCGTGTGAGTCAAACAGTGACAAGCAAACTATTTTTCCTACATATTTCCCTCTTTGTTATCAAGTGAACATTATATAATTTCTACATCACAAAATACAAATAAATAGGAGTTTATCACTACTCTTATTGCAATTTATGTGTTATATTTTTAAGTGGTACATAAGGTACATGTGGAATCCTACTTCTGTAGTAAATGTTACCCTCGGTTTAACATTTTGAATCTTCCTGTGTAACAGGAACTGTATAGCTGCATTTCCTCAGACAACCCAGGGCCACTTTCTTTTCTTCCAATGCAGTGAGGTCAAGAGAAAGCTGTACATAAATGCTCATCAGATACCCTGAAATGCATGCTAAGGAGCAGAAATTAAAGACCCAGCCCCTTCTTCACAGCTGTAGATTTGGAAACTAATCAGCAAAAATGTAGAATTAGTAATTTCATGAAATTTATTTTGTCTGCCATCAAATATAGCAAAGAATTTGTCAGTAGAAGTGAGAATTCACTGGTGAGAGGGGGATTGTAGCTGGCAAATGCCGGGAGATCAAGGGCAGCGGAGCAGGAGGCAGGGACAGGGCTGTGCGGGGAACAGCACCCTTGAGGCTGCAGATACAGCTCCTTGGCTTCCTGAGCTACTTGGAGTTGCCTTCCTGTCTGCAGCGGTATTTAAAAATTGATTTGGGAAAAACTAATGAAATACTAATGATTGCTACATCTTAGCTCACAGTCTATAATAACTATCAGAATTGACATCTATGTTGTTTCCACCACGGTGCTTTGGTTTCAAACCACATTATCCCTAATTCTCACTCAAATGAGTGATTTAGCAAGGAGCAGCCCCATTTACTAAGGAGTAAAAACAGCAGAGAGACTAAGTACCTCGGACTAGATACCATTAACAGTTTTGTTTGAACTTATGAATACATGTGCTTATATTGACACATAGAAGTTGCACACACTGCTGGGGTAGAATGCAGCATTTCAGGGTGTGCATACAATGTGTAATGGTCTGATGAGGGTACTGACAGCTCTGTCACTTCAAACCTGCCCTTTAGGAAAGCATGTCTTAAGCCTAGGCATATTGGGCTCAAAATTGAAGCTCTTTGCATTTCAATATGAATCTCATCAATATTTCTTGTTTGTGTTCCTAGAAAAACTCTAGGGGATAGGTTTGATTAATTAATTAATTTATTTATTTCACAGAAGTGCAATCACTGATAAACATAAATACCCAGATCAGAGACACTGAGTGCATTCCTCTCTCAAGGAACTCATAATATATGTGTGTGTGAGTGTGTGTGTGTGTGTGTGTGTGTGTGTGTGAATGTTTTACTTTCAAATTCAACTTTATAGAACCTTTTTCTACTAAGTTCAAAACTTACTATATCAAAGAAAATAAAATATACTGCTAACTTTTAATACAAAATGAAAACTCCTGGATTCAAATAGCAGAAAGGCATTAACATACTTCTCATTTTTAAGGGTCAGCCTAAGAAATGATTCATAGAAAGATATGGGAGATGTGAACTGGAACCCCATGTCTTTATTCATAAGACTGAGAACAATTAATATTCTTGTGGGAAAGATAAAGGGATAGTAGTGTTCATTTTTCAGGTATTACTATGTGTTTATATTAAAGCCAAGTATAAATACTTGAAAGTCATTAAATATAAAATTATATCAGTTAGCATTCCATACCCAATGTTACATATAATCACAGAAATTTAAAACATCCTTTACTGCAATAGGACATAAAGTATACTACTTTATGGAAAATATGTCAACTTCCTTGATTGCACTAATCATTTTGCCATGTATGTGCATATCAAAATATTATTTGCAGACTTTGAATATATACAATAAAATTGATGAGTGTCAAATTATACCATATTTGATTATTTTATATGAATTTCCTCCTATATATTGAGGAATCAGTCTTACAGTTACTTGACTTCACTTAATGATCAAGTTAATAGAGCAAAAAAGGAGCAGAAAGATAAAAATGTTACTGATTTTGAGGGTCAGAGTGTACAACGTGATTAAGGGATCCATACAACCAAAACAGTCATGTTTTAATAGGGTGGCTACTACAGTAAGTACTGGCCGACATGTCTTATTGTAAAGAGGAGTCAAACATAGTTCACATCACAGTTCCATTGACAAGACTGTTGTTGATCAGATTTGTTGAGCTGCATTCACGGAGAAGAGGCTGAGTGCACCTAGTGTGTTCAGTGTGGCGAACCGTGACACATGTGCCCAAGCACGAGCCTCTGTCATCTCTCCAAGTTTTCTTAAACCCTTGTAGAGTGAGTCTCTCCTCCCTCCACACTTGGCCACACGCCAGCAGTGATACCT